TGGATTGTAATAGTTGAGAACAGCTGCGTTTAGCAGTAAATGTGAACTGAAGCTCTTGGGGTTTGAACATGGTCTCTGGAGACGGAGCTGCTCTATTCTGAGACGATCAGAATCACTAAAGCTGTCAATGCAAATCTGATTTTCAGCTCAAACTCACAGTATGAGTGTAGTAGAATCTGCAAAAAACCCACAACTATAAAACTGGAACTAACAAAAAAGTTTTCAAACCCGTCACAGGACAGATCACAGTCTAATAGAGCTGATTTGACTCCTAACTCAGTTTTGATCTCATGTGTAGTTCTGTGTTTGGTCTCTGTGTGTCAGTAGTGTGTGATAGTGTTTGAGCAGCTGCAGCATCAGTTCATCACTGTGACTCTGACTGACGGAGGTTTTTGTACCACTCTTTATCACTGTGTGAACACCTCATCACCCACACAATCCTGTGTGAACACATCACCACTGTGGTAACTCTGACAGTAATAATGTCCAGCATCTTCAGTCTGGACTCCACTGATGGTCAGAGTGAAATCAGTCGCAGATGATGCACTGCCACTGAATCTAGATGGAGTGCCTGACTGGAGAGTGTTTGCATAATAAATCAGGAGTTTAGGAGCTTCTCCAAGTTTTTGTAAATACCAGCTTAAATAGTAACGTGGCGCACTATGTTCAGCTACATCTGTGCTGGTTCTACAGTTGATTTTGACTGTTTCTTCTGGTTGAGCTGCTGTCGTTGAGGGACTCTGAGTGACGCTGATCTGTCCTCTACTCTCTGAAACACACAACAAGAAGAAAATCAACTCAAAACTCTGACATTATACTTGAAGAAATAAATTCAAATCAAACTTGTGCTCCACAAACCTTGAGCAAACGCTGTGAGAGTCCAGATGAAGATGATGATGAAGGTCATGTTGATGAAGATTGTTGTGTGTGTCAGTGATGAAGTGTTAAACTCACAGCACTATAAACACTCTCAGAGCACTGAAGCATCTGATCAATATGCAAACACTCTCCACATCATTTACCTGAAGACAGTCACTCATTACAGTTTTTTACAATCATTTTTGCTCTAATAACAGAACCTTCATATATTTTATCAAAACTCTAGACACAAAACTCAAAACAGTTATTATTTGTAACAGGCTGTCCAATGTTCAAAACCTTGCATATTGCGTTCAGAAGTCTTGCATTTGCAGAAGCATTGGTTCAAAAAA